CCGAGTCGAACACAGTGAGAACAAGGGACAAAAATAGTTGGTGGAGAAGAACACATATATATAAACAAACGGATGCAAGCAGAACACTGTCACTACACAAGCACTGATGATGTCGCCTCGGCTGGTGATGAAACGTTTTGGGACAAATTGCCAAGCACGGCGGAATGGAGGTCTCAATGATTGTTTAGTGGGTAACTAGTCAGTTCTAGTTTATATTTACTTAGAATGATAGACTAATATTGACCAAGAAGCTGTGATTGAATATAAAATAATCGAATACCGCAAATATATGCAGATCAGTAATCGAAACTCGCAATCCGCTACCGAGGTTCAGGTATTAGGCCACAGAAGTAGCGGTTGCTTTATCGGAAGAAATCACAAGAACTAAATGGTAGGTATAGGAAAATTTTATTGGTTCCATAAGGGTCAATCAATTGGTATTCGGTAGTCTTCCAGCCACAGTATTCCTAGATAGACCGCAATGAATTCGATTGATCTAGAATACGGGCTTTTAATCAGTTGTCTTGAAACTGTATTTTATCGCTTCCTGGCTAGTTTTATATCCCAGTATTGGAACACCACAAATTTGTACCGTTTCCCAGGATTATTTTTATTTGTTTGGGTTTTAGTCAATTTCGGTGATCAAAGTCACTTTGCAAGATGACATATACCTTAACCACCAGTATTTAGTTTACTACTTTTTTGAAAGCTCTCCAAAGAACGACCTGATAGTGTTTCTCTTTTCATCAGTCTTAGCGTAACAATAGAAGAAGCGTTCCCAACTCGCGAGAACTATAAGATTCCTTCCTACACACCGAGTAAGTTTTCAACGAATCGGACAACAACAAAAGATACAGAACTAAACTGGTGGAGTATGCATACTTCAGGACCACTTACTAAGTTGAAAAAGGTTTAACCCAGTCCACGTCTTTGAGAGCCATCAGTGACTGCTGTCCCATGCTCACTCCGGTGTTGACAACCAACAACTTCTTACAGTAGCTCAATTGTGCGTAACGCAGCGTTTCGTAATCTCCAACGACAACATATGATGAATCATCCAGAACTTTGGATATGGCGACCGATGTATTCGGAACAATCAAGTTATCGTCAATTATCCTGCGAAGAACCTCCTGGTAAACTGGTTGTGTATTGGATTCCTAACAAATAAGGAAATTCTGGTAATTTTTTATCAAGTGCTTAAAACTTTATTATCACTACTATTCACTTGTACGAATACACCAAATTTATGTGCAGATCAGCTCCTCAAAAGTAATTGAAATAGGAGAATGTACTTTCAAATTAAGGTGATCTATGCTTCCAACGAATTTTTGTCGTTAAAAACATTGCTAAACCATGTGATCCATTGAGCGTGATACAGTAACTTAGATAAAACAAACTAAGGTTGGACCCAGGTTCAATATACACAGAGTAAATGTTTACCTACATTTGATAATCGAACCCAAAATTTGCATTATTTTATAAACTATCGCAGTATTACTGTCATGTAACATACGAACAAGAAACGGTTGGTCATCACATGCTTAATATCAAACTGGTGCGAATAATAGAGGTTTGTTCGTTGGGGCTTGAACTTGTTCGGAACATAAACGAGTCTCTTATACTCGCCATCAGTTATGTTCCATCGCAGAAGCGTGAGCATTTCATTCTAAACAGAACTCCGATAAACATATGGCCAAGTCAGGCAATTACCCGCAGATATGCAAACTGCAGAATACTTTCCAAACATACAGTTTTTGTGGAATCATGTGTCGAATTCTCTGGTCCCAAGGTTTACTCGTTAAAGCTGCCATTTCCCCCTTCAGATATTCTCTTTCGATGCTATCACACTCATTCACTAAGTTACAAGTTTCTTCGTCACCTACCTAGGATGCAGATCAGGCAAAGTGTGTAGACGATAAAAAAAGGAAAATAAACACTTGGCATATCGTTTGTGGCAAGCAAGAATACCGATTCATAAATTATTTTATCGCTTCCGGAGACATTCCCATAAAGGCTGAAATGAGATCAAATCAATCAAGTGGTAAATAAATTGAATTTAAAGCTGATAATATAAACCCCAGTACAGTCATCTAACCGAAAGCATGAAAACGATAGGTATGGAACAAACCTCGAAAAATTCCTTGATCCCGGTTCCTCGTATGATCAAGGGTTTTAGTGTGGTATCTGCAGCCAATTCCGCAAGGGACTGAACCGGTGGCTTATAGTTTGTTCTTGTCAAATAAGATGTTATATCAGCCTGCCATGCGATGAACAACAAGGTTACTATCGTCCAGTACACCAAGCACATAGCGCGGGAGGATGGGTTAATGGGGCATTGTAACATGCCTGAAACCAATTTAGGAGAGATACATAAATCAGTGCGACTACGTGGAACCTAGAGAAAAATCCGATTACACTGGTCCTGCCACCAACCCATTCAACATAAGGAATGCAATTCGGAACCGATTGCTTATGAGTAGACGATAATGTCATTCGGGCTTTCTTACTGTCGCGGGGGTGGCAGAGGTGATACAGCATTTCAGTTGATGTGCCTCGAATGTAGCAGTCCTATGTCACAATGCAAACCCCAATAATCCGCAAAACGCCATCTCACGTCGGTATTTTGCAACGATTACATCGGTCAACTGCGAGCGCAAAAAAACGACATCACAACGCACGCTTTGAAAGCCTTGGAAATTTCAAAACAAATCACAACAAAAAAGAATTGGGTGTCAAAAATGCTAAACTTTGATGGAAATCTCATTCACATGTTAATAACATGGTTGTAAGGATGATGAAAGCTTATGTTGTTGTGTCGACTAGACAGTGAAACGTAGGCATTGAACAAATCGGAGTTAGGTCCGTATGAAAGAACGAATGGTTCAGAATGAGATAGTGAATGATTTGACATTAACCACGTCTAAAGAATTCATCTTTCAATGAATCTGAAATGCTAAAATCGCAAAAGAAAATGGGCAAGCGAATAAACTAGACCAATTATTAAGCTATCTAAAAGAGTAAACAGCTGTGCTGACATACGTCAATACGCAATGCTCATTCTTCGAGAAACGCTGCTGATATTTGTTAATTAGCTTTCAAGGTTTCGTACATTTTGTAGAGAATAACAAACCAATGACTGAAAGCTGTTTAGAATGACTCGCTGCGCAATAGGTACTGATCTCTGTATTCACTACTTCATACCGTCATCATTTCCATGTTTAACTACCGATTTCGACAGGTAACTGATCAACAACTCAACGGGTTCAAACTATATTAGTAGCTCCAATCGAAACCCAGATACTTCTTTATTATAGGTAAGTCAATAGATTTTCGTTGGTTAACAAAGATGATTTGTGAATGTGTTTTAAACAAAACTTTCCACAACATTTGAATGATTTATCACGTAAAAAATAGAGGTGATATAACAAAGCGTCCCACCAACTCATCTGCACAATAAATGCTACAATTGACTGAAAGACACGAACGAGTAGCCTTGATTGATCAGCTCTAAGGCTGTGTTAAAATTAACCATGAAAAGGCGATAATCGGACTGCAACAAACGACTAGCTCAAACCCCTACCTGTTTGGCGGTACGCATGCGCATCGCAATTTCTGTATCTTTAATAGAAATACTTTCAAGCGTTAGCGCGCACATATCATCAGTTGAGAGTTGGTTTCTTTTTAACCCATGTATACTAGCCGCAAATAGTGTTCATGATTGTCCATATAAGACCTCAAATTTGATAAAATCAATTATCAATTATAAGCTTAAGTGCACTCCTTCTTTGGCATGTCACTGTTCCCGCAACTGAAAAAGATACATCGTTTCATTCTGTAGGAAGGGGCCAAAAAAGATTCATTATCCTTGCAACAGTTCCAATTCAAGTTCGTCAACTGTTCATTGCTGCATACGAAGCTTTTGGGCCCAGTTTATGCGTCGTATGCATCACCAACAGTGGACAATAAAAATTCTACCCACGGTTATTTAAACGCAAACGTCAAATTTGATATTACGCCAATTTCTTTTAAGTGCAGCTGTTTACATTGTGCAGGTGAAAAGTCGTGAATGGTGTGAAAAACAGCAGTTCAATTCCTCATGAAATTTGAAGTGCGTTTACTTTAATACTCTTCAATCTGAAAAGTTGATCGGTTTATTACTTGAAGACTGCTAAATAAACCTATATGCTAAAAACTGTTGATGAACGGAATGGAATCATAGCAACATAAATGGTGAAGCACAGAAATGTAAAATTTGCAGTTGAGTGAGCTGAAGAGAAAAATAGACAAATCTTCATGGAAAACAAAGTCCAGTAGGTGAAAAAAATTGTTCTTCGATAAATTAATCAATTGGTCATCACCATTACATAATGTTATTTGTGTCAGCTGAAGTGACCTCTATTCAAACACCGGATACCCTCTTGGTGCAATCACAAGCAGTTTGTCCGGGCTTTAAATTTGTCATGGTTTCGGAAGAGGAAACCCAAAAATACAACCCCGGGGACGGACCAATGACCCAACCCAGATGAGGAATAGGTAAAACAGCCTAGCATAACTTCTGGACATAGCATGATGTGATCAACTCCAGATCAACAAGCAAAAAAATGAACGGTCATTTGATGAGTACATCAGTTCGTTTCACCTACTGGACTCGGGTTTTATTGTGGCAATGGGCATTTTTAGTTTTAGTGAAATCTTCATCGATGACTTACTTCGACCGAAACTACACTTAAAAATATTCCACAATGATTCAATGAAATAGGAATATTCAGAAATTGGTTCTTCCGGTGGTGTTTGATTTCGACTGCTGTACGGACTGAAACGGTCGTACACGTATATTAAACCAGTGGTAACCAAGGCGGTGAATAGAAACATGGCCAGCACGTAGGGCTGATAGATTTGAAACACTTGAAACAGTTTGCCCTCTGTGGTGGGTTTGGCTACTAAGATGGCGATGCGCCCATCCAGAACGTGGCCGAGAAATGCACCGAGTTCGTCACGCTTTTTATTTTGAAGAAGACAGGAAGCAGCTAAATCTATACGCTAACAAGTGAAACGGGTCAAAAAAAGAGGGAAGGAGAGGGAGAATTAAAAATTGAGTTGGTCAATATACCGCTTGAGGAACATCTAGAAATACAAATTTGCATTCTTATTAGGCATGGATTGAAGTTGCATCAATCTATCATTGGTTCAGTGTGTTCAGTTGTTTTATGTATAAAAATATGCATTCCTTTTATCTACACACTCTGACTGCACCATTTCTTAGTCGGATGAAACGAAATGAATAACTTCGCATTACCTTTACTATATGTAACCGATCAACCTTACACATTGTTAATACCCCCATCTTCACATTACTGACAAACTCCACTGAAAACACTCGCACCTGCAAACTTTCAGTACTAAAAACAAGTTAAAAACACCCTTCTTTAAAATGTTTTGTACAAATCTGGAGTTTTTTATTTTTAGGAATACTGCGAGGCACTAAGTTGTCGATAGCTGGGTTGTACTCACTATGGCAACCATTGGTACAAAGGGGGTTTCCCTCATAGATTTGCAGAAGCCACTGAATCGTGTGTTGGTTAATTTCGTCTGTTCTTGTCATCCATACACACATGTGTTATTCAGGGTACTTAAACAACTCGTAATTTACTTTTCAGTATTTTCAGTTTCATCGTTTTCCCAGATAAATCTGAAGGACATATCTGCGTCCTCCAGAACTTTGTACGACTTCCCTCAATCTTCATAATGATTTATTCAATGTTATCAGCAGCTTATCACAAGCGGCCGATGGCTGTGGTGATCCGGGCCTACGAGATGACACGTACCCTGGAGCGACGCGTCACAGTTTTTGGACAACTGCGATCACTCAAGCTTCACGGGTGACGTTAATAACGAGTGTACGTGTCACTGCTTCTGACTACATACCATAGGTAGATCGTACCAGCCAATCAGCAACCGGCTCAGACAGAAGCAGAACGATACAAGCAACACTGGAACGCGATTGGTAGGGGCCCAGATGACCAAGGAGCTTGTTTTGTACATATTATTCAGTCCCCCTTATTCCTTTAAATAAAAATAACTACTAATCCTGTGGCATTTTCATCGCGTCTCCGTTACGTGAGACGTTGCGTTCAAGAGCCAGAGCGGCACAATGCTCACGTGCTCCAGTCCTTGAATGCTAATCCTTGATTCGTATTCCGTGATC